GTAAAAACACTTTGCCACGTATGCCAGGCATACAATCGTGGCATGTGTGGATCTGCACAGAAGATGACCAGTTCGGTCACGTCCCCTTGGTGGCGGGAACTGCTGGAACCGAGCTCACTGCAGTTAAGCCTTTTTAAATCTGATTATAGTGAATGTGCCATTTTGACATTAGTTCGAACTCGCAAGGTACCCATGAAGGCCAACAACAATTTAATTTTATGTGTGCCTGTTCTAAGCGACAGAAGCATCGCTAACTTTTGTGGTGTTTCGTGTAAATACAAACTATCAGACTGAACTTCTTGTATGGAGCGGTAAAAAAAGTGAACTTTTTCAAAGAGTGTAAAGAGAGACGAGCAGCGGAGAGAAGCGAAAGCGCCGAAGTCCAGACGCTACGCAACCGCCACTTTGACCGGTTAGAACTTTTGTACCAAGCAAATGGTGCAATGCTTTTTTACGTTTTTTCGCCTGGCCTAATTAGAGTTGTACGCTAAAGTTTTATAGAACGGAAACCGGGTTTTTTCTCTTTTTAATATGGGTATTTTTTTAAATCTGTTGTTTAAAAATGTTTTTTTATGTTTAGATTCTTACCGAAAAATTATATTTTGTAAGTATATTTTGGATGCCGTGGACTATATTGTGTATAGTTTTCAAAGTCGTTAACGTCATACATACTGGGGTAGCGGGCCACAAAGTTAGTGTATTTGTTTCGCCTAGTCGAAGTTATGCATTTTTTATATATAGTTTATTTTATAGAAAACATAATAATTGCATGCAGTCGACTTACACTTTGATGCATTACAAGAAGCAAAAGCATTTTTGTCCTACCACTTTTAGCCTGCCATCCACAGGACAGGAAAGTTGGCAACTATTGCAGTCCGTGGTGGAAGCAGGGCCGTCGCGCAATCTTAGAGCATTTTTCTTTTCTTGAAGTGAAAACGCTTTCACGATAAACAAAGTTAAGTTTCGGGTCATTTGTGTGTACATCGCATAAAAAGAAATGGCGAGTGGCCATGCAGGTTTGACATCTCTTTGAATCACCCATCGTAAACTTTCATGAGTGCTCGTAGAGAGCCACAACAAAAAAGAAAATCTGGAAAGATAGCTTCTCTGACAGCAAGCTATAACACATAAATTTTCTTATTTGTAAAAAAAGAAAGGGGGAATTTTAGCTGCAGGGAGGAACTAAAATCGCCGGAGTCAAGACGCTTTGCAACCGCCACTTTGACCGGTTACAATTTTTGTACCAAGCAAATGATGCAACATGTTTTTGCACTTCCTTTTTGCCTGGCCTGAGGAGAGTTGTACCCCAGAGGTTTAATGAAATCGAGAGCGTTTTTTTTTTTTAATTTTGTTTTTTCAATGTGGGTACTTTCTTGAAATTGTGTTTTTTTTTTCAAAATAATGTTTTGTTATGTTTATATTTTTGTCGCAAGCTCCTATTTTTCGCGAAAAATGTAGAATCCCTGGCCTATATTATGTGTAGCTTTCGAACTCGTTAATGCAACACAGATTGAGGCAGAAGGCCTGAAAGTTAGTGTGTTTGTGTTAGGGTGAGCACCTGGTCTAAGTTAGGGTGAGCACCTGGTCTAAAGTTAGGAATTTCTTATATATTTTTATAATTCATAAAGCACAAATATTTGCATTCAGTTGACTTAAACTTTGGTGTGTTATATGAAACAGGAAATATTTTTGACTTACCGCTCTTTGCCTGCCTTCCCCAGGATAGCAAATTTGGCACCTAATGATCGTCCACGGTGGGACCTGGGCCGTCGAGCAATTTTGAAACATTTTTTTTTTCACGTAGTGAAAACGCGGTTTCGAGACAAAAAGTTCCGTTTCCTGCGATTCATTTGCGCGCATATCACATATAAAAAAACAAAAAAAAAAAAACAGAAAAGTTGAGTGGTCCTGCTGGTTGGATCTCTCGTGGAATCACCCTCCATTTTTTTCCACTGTGTCACGGTATTGGACGAGGCATGCTGCTTCACTTTTGAGGAGTAGAATTCAAGGCACTTTCGGAGCCGCTACACGAGATAAATCATCAGCACTTCCAGTGGTTTCCAGTTTTGACGACCTGAGGTTGTGCAAGTAGGCTTGGTGCTTGAGGACTCTCCCTACGCCATTACACGCACTTTTTGCCGTTTCACGTAGCTTAAAAAATACATTCGGTCTCCTCTTATCTCTTCGCCATCTCGTGCGTTGTAAACGTCAAAATTTTCGCGGGGACCTAATTTTCGCGAATTTCGCGAATCGCCTACAATTCGCGAAAAATACCTCCCGCGAACAATTCGGGCAATATGTGAACACTACGGAAGCTACACTCGATTCGCGAAAATTAGAACCCGCGGATAATTTCAAACTTTCAGCTTTGGCCCGATTCGCGAAAATTTGAGCCCGCGAAAATTAAGTCGTTTACAGTAGTTGAACCCTATTTTTGAAATAACTAGCATTTAAGCCAGAGGTGTGAAGAAATTCTGTAAATATCGGGATGTTTTCTTCCAGCCACTTTTCAACTCTGCTCAGAGCAAATAGTGCGTGTGCTGTATTGTGCACGATGTCGTCACTGGCAACTCCGAAGTTGTAGATATTTCGCTCCATTGTAGTAATACCGGGAATCTTGTCTTCGTCCTAAATAAAATTACAAGGTGTTGACACTTACAAATTGGTTATACAACTCGAAAAAGTAAAAAGGAGAGAGGTCGACCTGTTAACCACATGTCTGTTTTCTTGTGTGTTTTTTTTTCGCCGCTCTATTACGTATTTGAATAAATAAACCAACTCACGTGCATGACCATTCTGATTTATTAACATTTTAATGATCAGATCTTCTATCTACGGTCTTCGAGTTAACGCCAATATAAATCGAAGGTTACTCTAAGAATAAATTAATACAAGACGAAAGAGCGAAACTTATAAATGTTTGAATATTATCAAATATGGCCTGATCCTACGTAAAGCTATAGACATATAGAAACCACAAGTCATAACTGCTTTGAAATAGTGTGAATGTGAAGGTTAGTTTATCACGTAGATTGCTAATACCTTCAATAAATTATTTCGCAACTTAAATTTCAGTAGCTGAGCTTTGCTTTATGTGTTAAGATTAATTAGATGGGCCTATAGATGTTAAACAATTTCTTCATTTTTTTAAGAACTGAACTAGCTGCGGTGAATTCACGAAGCAGCATAGTGGAAGATCTCGCCAAAGACAAATGTGGTATAAAAAAATAAAGTTTGGTTTTATATAATTAGCGATCAAGTAAAACTAAACGTCTTGCGGAAAAGCTAATAAAAATAAATGCACATAATAATTTTCAAGAAATTGTTTCTACAGTAATGCTTTCACGACATTACCACGCGAGTTTCGAATCAACATATATACACCTTTGCAGCGCCTTGCTCCCAGGCTAATGCCTACTCATTGGTCTGCCAGTAATGCCAACTCACTGGTCTGTGAACGTGTGAGTGGCGTCTGGTACTCTGCTGAAGCGAAGGTGATGCCCATGTCGAGAACGCGTTCCACAGCCTATTCCAGGTAACACAGTTCTTTAAGGCCAAAGTTGTTGTTTTTTTCTGAAACTTTAGGCCCCTTAAAGGCCCGAAGAAGCTTTGGTGGAGCCACACTTGACCTTCGTTAGCCAGAGTACGGACATCCTTTCCATTATTTGCTAATAAATTGCCAAAGTTAGGTCTCTCAGCTGGTAGTTTGGCTGTCACCTGGAATCTTTGGGCCTAAATTGCAAAACAAGTGCCATAATTCGGTTTTACTTCCCGCTGTTTGGTTTTCCTGCAGTACCTTCGTGCCTAAATTTTCAGTGCCAGGTTTTGGTTACACTGTAGTTTCTTCTAGCAGGAGAGGCATGTCCATCAGAAAGTTATTTGCGCATGGTCAGAAGTCACTCAGCGGCCCAGTAGGCAGACTATGACACTACCGTAGTTTTCGAAAGGCACTGTAGACGTTCCAGGCGGCCAGGCTTCGAAACCTAGTGTTGCCATCGAGGGAGGCAAACACATGTTAGGGCACCAGTCTGCCAAGCGCGTGCAATCACACCAGAACAACTCTTTACTATCAGACGATCTTCAAATACCAGCAGCAAGATTGTGGTGAAGAGAGGCCTCACCTGAAGATATCTCTAGTAATACAAAATAAGTTTATACTTCACGTTTCTGTCACATTATACATTATGTTCTCACTTTAAAAAGCACTGCTCTGCTCGCGTATGAAGACAGGAACGCACATCAGATAGTAATAGATATTCTTCTGTAGAAAGTAACACTATTAAAATTCACTAAAGAGGCCTACTATACTTTCGTTGTACAATAGATTTTTAAACATTCGCGGGATGGCAACATGTCCCCACGTAACATTATTTTTTACCTCAATAATACCGAATGCGATAAAAGTAATGCTGATGCTTAGAATAGCGCTCGGAAAGTCATTTCATACGCAAAGGACTAGCGTCGTCGCCAAATCACATGCGCTGAGCCCAAACCGTGTTTTCAATTGGCGCATGGCGACGATGCTATTTCTTGGCGTAAGTTAATCTTATACTCGTTATTAAAAACGAAACAATCTTAAAACTGCAAAAGCAGGCGTACTTTTGTTTCACTTTTCCTCTCTCCACTTATCTGACCTCGCGTAATTGCGACACGCAACCTTAGACCTCATATTTCTATCCGCTTTGCGCAATGTCAACACATCTGGATGCTGAACACCACAAGCAATTGAGGGGACCTTCAGGCTTCACTTTACGCCGGGAAGTTTCCATCCCTTACAGAGAAGAAAAAATTGGCACGGAATCAACAGGCTCATTCGAAGACACAAAGCCGAGAGGGCTGGATAAACTTTCTGTGTAACAATACTACCCCGCAATGCAAGTACTCCTATTCGCAGACCCATATCTCAAGAATCACAACGTGGTGATCGCTCCTCGAAAACGCAATTTTTATTGGTTGAAAGCTATCTCGTATTTTTTGCGCTCCTTGGTGATTGAGCGCAATACGGTGCCACATAAGGACTTCAGAGAGTTTCAGGGTCTTTGACGAGCGCAAACGTTCTGTTCCGCTAACCACGAATATACAGCAACCATGCACAAGTTTCTTCTAGCCACGCTCGTGGCTTACGTGGCGCTAGTCTCGTCTCTTCCTGATGATGACGCAGGTATTTAATTTTGACACTCTTTGAGTCTGTCTTCTTTTCACAATGTCCAGAAAAGTTTGTGTACTGCCTTTTGCAGAAAGGTAAATAAGCTTGTACATGTTTCGGAGCCTGTGAAATAACTGTTTTACAAGGCTTTATATTGAAGGTTCGCACTAACCTCCCCCCTCACCCTCCTCCTTGTTCTAAAAGGGTGATCGTAGTTTGCATTGATTTGATTTCACATAACTTTAGGTCGTATAAAAAAATGAAAGAAGTGTGATACAGGCTTAGATTATATATTGGATTTGACAGGTATTCATATATGTATAACAGTTCCTTTTGCAACCACTTTCCGTTATCATTTGTTGCAACGAACACTGGAGCATAAAACATTCTACACAAAGGAAATACTACTAAAATTCAGGCAACGTTAGCGGCTGCGATCCATATTCCAGAGAATGAATCTTGGCATAACAAGTAATACACGTAAAAGTGAAGCGCTTCACAGTACGTTGATTACCATTATTTAGTTTACGTATTTATATTTTTAATAAGATCAAGCTAATGGTGATCACTCTTGCGCCTCAATGAACTTGAAGAGGAATAATGCGCTTCAACTATTCCAGGCTTTTCTGTAGCATCATCAAAGTTATCTTTGACATCATAAAATTTATTGGGAGCGAGAGCGGGAGTGTAGCTCTCTAGAACTCTTTGTTTGAACATTCGCGCAAGGTAATGACTAGGTAGACTAAAAAAAACTCGTACTGGTTCAAAAGCCTTCTTTTTCCCTTTGATCTTGCATCCTATCTTAACGTTGTAGTTTGATCTAAATACTGTTTGTTCTTTCTTTTCTCAAAAGTCAATTTGAATGTGCCAACGCAGCCACAGTGTGCTGCAAACGAAGAATATAAAATATGTGTCAGTCGTGCCTGTGGCGAAACTACCTGCGATCAGCCAATAATTAACCCTTCCTGTGAACACGGGTGCCAGCTGGGTTGCTACTGCAAGAATGGTAAGTGAAAATGTGTACCGTCTCAAAGACACTATTATTGATGTCCAGCTTTCAACCTCTAATCACAGGTTAGTCTAAGCCACTTAACTCCCGTTAGTTCATTTGCATTCAGAGGGAGTAGAAAAAAGGACCTAACTTAAAGTTGCAGCCAAAATCAATTGCACACATTAGGGCGGGTGATTTAATATATAATAAATGTATGACCAAATAGTTCAGTCGCATTCAGAAAATATTCCAGAGAAAGCCAGCCTCAATTAAATTCACACAAAACATCAAAATGTCTATTTTGATACTTAACCAGCTTAGACTAGTGGTCACCAAGAGAGAAGGTCCCTGTCAGCAATATCACATTTATTATAAAAACAAGATAACCTTTTGCACAGCTGAAGTAATTATGCCTTTTATTTGGTGCTAAATCTGACAGCCTGATATTGTATTATATTTAATGTAATAATGACGAAGTTCAACTGATTCGTTCCTCAGCCTTATGCGCATTTTAGCGTTAAGTTTGGATAGGAATAACCAAACTGGTCGTATTTCCCGAAATGAGCTAACAGGAAATCTCACAATCCAGGTAAAGACAAAGCTAACAGGAAATCTCACAATCCAGGTATTCGTTTAACTCTTTCATCCGGTTCAATTAAGTCAGTTCTGGTCGCTCTCTAAAAGCGTGAATTTAATCCGCGGACGTTCACTCAGCCATCTTGAAGGCAAAAGCAAAAAATACCGAGTTAGTAAAAATGTACGCCAAGGGTTACACTCGGCAATTCGGAATAAAACACGGCCTCAAAGAACACCGAAAAAATCAGGTGATTTCGGGTGGTCTCATTTTGCAGCGCGTTGCTGCACATTCAGACACGTCACATGTTCTGGAAATTAACGATTACTTCATTTCTAAAAAACGTTGTTTCTCTCATTTTGCCAAATAGGGTTCTTCCGCAATGGCGAAGAAGGCTGCGTCACCAAAGATGAATGTCCCGAAGGTTCAGCAGCACGGACTTTGGATCTAGATGTAAATTCCAACGAGTGATCCGCAAATGACACACGATTGTTACAGCAATAAACAAATTAGGCAATTAGAAGAGAGCGGTGCCATACGCAGTGTGTTAACAAGCGCTTTGGATTCAATCCTGTGTCTATCGTGCTACAAGCTCTTTTGAATCCAAAAAGAAGCATGTGTTCTTTTGTTTGTTTTTGTGTATGCCCGCATCTCTGATGATCGCTGTAGGTGGAGTATCGCTTCCCGATGTGGCCTACCGTAATTTGTGGTACTCTTTCGACATTACGAAGCTTCAAGTGACCATTTAGAACTTCCGAGCTCCGAGTCCCGGTGGTGTTGATTGTCACACTAACATGTGCCATCGACGGCACACTCGCGATGACTCAGTAAATTCTGCCATCACGAACATAGCAATTAAGATAGCAAATGTATAAATAAAAATAAATACAAATACTAAAGAAATTTATTTGAACAAATTTTAAGAGTTGTACTATAACCAGAATAATTGTGAAATGTATCATGCCCTTCGCACAATATAGAAAGTCAAATAGAGATATAAACTAGTAGAGTCAAAAAATAAGGCGACAGGAGCGAGTTTACAAGTACAAATCGGCGCATTTTCCACGTCTATTTTTAGCAAGTGCTCCCTTTTTGTGTCTGACACCCTCAGATGTAATCGTTCGCCCATAGTTAGGCTTCAGTTACAGATCCTCTGAAAAAAGCTAGCTTATTAATCATGCAATTCCAGTTCACACTAGCGAGCCGTCAATGATTTGGCAGTTATTAGGCATTTTCCCCTGTGATTGCGTTTGCATCTACATGCTGGGAGTCAAACGACCTTATTACAAAAATTATAATAAAATAAACCTACACAATGCAGGCTATCCAGAATAACTGAATACATTATTGCATTAAATTTAAATCTTAAGAAACTTCTCAATCATTTTAAACGAATCGCACTGTGTGCTGAAACATATGTAGCCCATCTGTTAGGTAGACCACACGGTATCTTCCACTGCCAATAAATACGATTCGCAGTCCTTGCGGACACACTCTTAGCCGTATTGCATATAAAAATACCGCAATTTAGCGAGTCGTAGTTCATAAAATAAATGTATCATTCAAGGCGTTAAACCTCTGTAACCATTTCCCAAGGGCAGACTGATCTCTCGCTGTAAAAACATTCGAAATAAGTGTGTTTTCCGTTCTCGCTGTCTCTTTTTTTAAGTAGAATATATTGCCAGCACTGTAATATAATTCCGGCTCATCAGCAATTATTCGATTGAATGAAGAACAAAGATGTCACGAGGATGTAACACCTCGAGAGCTGGCGTAATCTAAAAAGATCTTGCAAGGATTGTTCATACCTATTTTTATTACCTTTGCAATTCGTAGCTTAAGATAATCTCGCTCTTATACCTAAACATGGCGTTACTTTTTTTTTTTTTTTCTTTCGTATACGGGGTCACAACACAATTTTCAACCGAGCGTATCCACGGAGATGAATGCGTTTGGTTTGCTTCTATTGTGTAACCCTTTAACAATAATTATTTAAAAAAAAAGAAATACATTGCTCCGCGATTATAGACATCTTGTTTGCGAAATCGCCTTTCTTTTTTAGCGACTTGTGTACTAAAGTTTATGACATGGGTGGCTAGTTTGGTGGTGTTATCCGAGGAGTGTGGGAAGTTCAAAAACTCAAAAATGTTTCGCGTTTTGTTCTAAATGAACAACACCTAGTTTTGCGATTCACATTTCTTTCTCTATAAAATCAAGTTTACGGGATTTTTTAGGGCGCCTTCGTTTCACACTGCGTTTGTATTTGCTAAACGGAGTATAACCCGGAAGAGAATAATCATGATTATTCGTAATAATAAATTTAGGGTAGCAATCATTGTCAAATACACGTATTCAATATCAACTGGCACATCTAACTTGCAAGCGCAACCGGTTTCCCTGTAAAAGACACAAAACACTAAAATGCGACAAGCTCTTTCGCTTCAATTGCTGCTGCGACATAATGGTGAAATCCTGAAGCAATCTCTGCCTTAGAGATCTCTTAGGCTGCTCGTTAACCTGCCTCTACTTATGCTCCTGCATCACGTGCTCTAGTGGCGAGTGCTCACGACTGTAAATAAATATTACAACGAAATTAAGCACAACTCGTCCAGGAAAACAACTTATCCGTACACGAACCAGCGGAATACTGATTTATGCCTTGTGCAGTTCGTTCCTCTGCAAGCTACTGACGTTAGTGCTCTCACGCTATCTCTCTCAATCGCCCTTGACGCAGTGGCGTCTACTGATAAATGGAAAGACACGTTTGGGACTTACGCGTCCAAGAGCAACTTTACGAGTTCAGGTAAGCAAGCCAAACCCACCTTGAAGTGGGTTCTCCCTCCTCTGTATAAAAAGACCAGACCTTAAAGCGGCGCAAAAACAAGCGGTCACCGAAAAGGAATCATCATGAGGACCATCGTTCTTCAAGCTCTACTCCTTTCACTCATCGTCGCTGTTGCCTACGCCGCTCCACAAGGTACGGACTATTTTTAAGGAAAATATTATGCCACAGGATAACCCTTCCAACAAGCATCTAGTAACCGAATTTGTATACTGAGGCTCTGTATTAAAATACACTAATACTGGTATCGAGTTTTAATGAGAGGTTAATTATTTCAGCATTTGAGAAAACAACTGTAATTTCATGCGTAATATTTCTGTGATCTAAAAAAGATTCTGGCTTTTATTATGAATATTAATACCGAACATTAGAAACAAACTAAAATTTACAATGCATTAACATAGTATTTGAGATTACTGGTAGCATTAATCTCGTTCCGTCAATTATAAGTTTGTATCGGATTCGTTGGCGCAGATTATTTTTGCTTAGTGGTATGAGAAAGGCGTTCAAGCATCTCAAACCTACTGTACAAAATGTTGTGGCGAAGTTGTTACGTGAATGTCAATAGGATTGAAAATGTCAACACGCTCAAGGGAACCTTGTAGCTGTGTACGTGAGCATACCCTAGCTGGCACGCCTAGTCCCTTAGTAAGGTATAGCAAGGCTCAGCCTACACTCTTGTTCGGCACAAATGGCAGTTTACATTCACTGTTCTGCCTGTTAAACTTCGCGTTTTCTTTTGATGGTAACTTGCTGTAAAGCTGCTATGATGGAATGCGCCTAAATCACAAAATTGTATAAAAATTCACTTTAGAACAAGGAACCAATAGAGGGCGACAAAGATTGGTAGGTTTTTTTAACAGCAAGATATGCTTCTGGCCATCATCTCTTAAAAATGCAGCGCCATGGTATCTTAAATCTAAAAGAAGATTTCGCTTAGGATTAATGCATAACACTTATAACCTATCAATACACGCGTGCTACTTACTCTCTCGTCATTGCAGTCATTAAAAGCGCTATCTGAATGCCCGTTGAGGCATTCATTATCATACCTCGGCAAACCTCACTCATGAGGGCCCTCACTCACCCTCATCTTCACAGGTGAGGTGAGGGTGAGTGAGTTTCTGAACCTGGAAAATTCATGAGTGTGAGGGTGAGTGAGGGTGAGTGAGGGCTGTGAGGGCGGTGAGGGCCGTGAGGGCTGTGAGGGTGGTGAGGGCCGTGAGGGCCGTGAGGGCCGTGAGGGCCATGAGGGCCATGAGGGCGGTGAGGGCGGTGAGGGGTATGAGGGCCATGAGTGCGTGAGGGGCGTGAGGGCGGTGAGTGGCGTGAGGGCCATGAGTGCGTGAGTCGTGTGAGGGTGGTGAGTGAGTGAGGGGCGTGAGGGCCGTGAGGGCGGTGAGGGGTATGAGGGCCATGAGTGCGTGAGGGCGTGAGGGCGGTGAGTGGCGTGAGGGCCATGAGTGCGTGAGTCGTGTGAGGGTAATGAGTGAGTGAGGGGCGTGAGGGCCGTGAGGGCGGTGAGTGCATGAGGTGTGTGAGGGCTTTGAGTGCGTGAGGCGCGCTTCAGATCGAGCATCTTTCTCAGCAATTTTGGTGTTAATGGCGGGTTGTTCTCTAGCCTTCCCTAGATCAACACAAATTGCTAAAATCGGGTCCGGCTCGAAATAAGCAAGCAACTCGGAGCAATTCGAATACGTTTGTAGCGGCTGCATCCAATCAGGGATGCAAAATTTTCACGTGATACCTCGTGCCGGTGATGATGACACCGAAAGACTTGGTTCTGGTTTGAAATCGATCGGTTTTTTTTTAAATAAACTGTTTCAGAAAGGTGCATTAGTATTCTTAACGAGATTTAAATGCATAAAAACACGTTTATAACGCGTAATTGTGTCTAAATAGTGCAAGAAGAACAAAATTTTATGATGACGATGGCAAATTGCAGCAATTGGTTGCTGCGTGTGATCGCGAGCGGCCCGTGTTGCTGGTGTTGCGACGTAAAGTTTCTGGGCGAAATTGCCCCATCTGAAGCTGGCCTGAGTGGCGTGAGGGCCATGCGTGCGTGAGGGGTCTGAGGGCCGCAAGGGCGGTGAGTGTCGTGAGGGCGGTGAGTGTCGTGAGGGCGGTGAGTGTCGTGAGGGCGGTGAGTGGCGTGAGGGCGCTGAGTGGCGCGAGGGCGGTGAGTGGCAGTGAGGGCGGTGAGTGGCGTGAGGGCGGTGAGTGGCGTGAGGGCCGTGAGGGCGGTGAGGGCCGCGAGGGCGGTGAGGGCCGTGAGGGCGGTGAGGATGGTGAGGGTGCTGAGTGGCGTGAGGGCTATGAGTGCGTCAGGACCGTGAGGGCGGTGAGGACCGTGAGGGCGGTGAGTGGCGTGAGGGCCGTCAGGGCGGTGAGGGCCGTGAGGGAAGTGAGGGCCGTGAGGGGCGTGAGGGCGGTGAGTGGCGTGAGGGCCGTGAGGGCGGTGAGGGCCGTGAGGGCGGTGAGGGCCGTGAGGGGCGTGAGGGCGGTGAGTGGCGTGAGGGCTATGAGTGCGTGAGGGCCGTGAGGGCGGTGAGGGCCGTGAGGGCGGTGAGGGCCGTGAGGGCGGTGAGTGGCGTGAGGGCGGTGAGTGGCGTGAGGGCCGTGAGGGCGGTGAGGGCCGTGAGCGGCGTGAGGGCCGTGAGGGCCGTGAGTGCGTGAGGGCCGT